GTGGGTAAGAACCTCACTTCTTCAGATGCAAGATGTCTTGCATCTGAGGAAGTGTGAGGTTCTTACCCACGAAAGCTTATGCTCCCAATACTTCTGTTAGTCTTAAAGGTGCCACAGGACCCTCTGTTGCTTTTTACAGATTCAGACTAACATGGCTACCCCTCTGATACTCATTTGAAAGCTCATGGTGGCACAGGCCTTCCTCCTGTACAAATCCAATCTTCTAAATTGTGTCTTCTGGGGTAGTTTCAGGAGCAACTGCCTCACAGCATTCATTTGCTGCATAACAACTAAAGAATGTGGGGTAGGACAAGTGGAAAAAATAATCATATTCTTGCTGGGGAACTGGATACCTATCCACTCGTTTAACGGTGAGTGGAACTGAAGCTGGAGGTTCCAGGAGGGAGTCACTGATAGGAAGGATGACCCTTCCCAGGGCAGAAGCCTGTTTGTGTGGATTATCTTGCACAAATTCTGCCTGTGCTCCAAGAGAAGCAGCCACTCTCCTCATGAGATTTTGAAAGACCTTCAAGTCTTCAGTTGGAAGGGACGTTGATTGTGGTGTGATAGCCCTGTCTAGAGAAGAGTAGGAGTTGTGAGGAGGAATATCCAGGGGTTCCTCCACTGGCTCCTCTTGGTCTGTGGACTCCAAACAGGGGGTGACTTAGTGGTTCTGCAGGAGCTTCAAAGTGGTTACAGGAATTGAAGGTGATTTCCTCCTGGATTGTGTGGTTGCTACATGTGCAGAGGGCCTCAGAGCAGTCCAAGAGGTCCAATATGGCAGAGTTATTGCAGCCCAGAGGTAAGTTTGTAGCTGCTGGAGCTGGTCCCAGATCCAAACGTGCCAGGGTCAAAGATCTCTCTGACAAGAGAGCAGGCAAAAGTCTGACTCGAATGCATTGGGCACATACACTTACAGTGGAATGTATATGTGCTCAAATCACTTAAAAGCAAACCATCCTTTCTTCCCACAATCCTCTATCTATTCATTATACAACAAAAGAAGCAGGGATTCTACAGACAGTTTCCTTCACTACACAATCCTGATTCATCCCCAGAGCACCATCCATCATCCTGTGCACTGAAAAGAGTCTAATTACATGATCACATACTATCATAATTAAGACTACGTTTTAGTCAAGGGTATTTTAGTAAAAGTCATGGACAGGTCACGGGCAGTAAACAAAAATTCACGGCTGGTGACCTGTTCATGACTTGTACTAAATATACCCAACTAAACCTGGGAGGGGGGGTGCCCTGCAAGTGCTCGGGGGGGAGAAGACCGGGACCCCCACTGGTGCTGGGGGAGGGCGTGTGGCCAATAGAAGCTGCGGAGGAGATGCCTGTGGGCAGAGGCAACGCACTGAGCTAGGAACTATGGGAGGGACATGTCGCCACTGCTGGGGAGCCCCCCCCCCCCCGCCCCAAGGTAAGCGCAGCCCAGAGCCCTAACCCCCTCCTGCACCTCAACCCCCAACCCTGAGTCCCCTCTCACAGGCACCCGAACTCCTGCTGCTGCAGGGGGGAAGGGGAAAGGAAGAGGGCGGTGGCCCAAGTGCCCCAGCAGTGGCTGGCCATGGGGCTGCCCAAGCTGCTCAGGCAACCCTTGGGCCATCCGTAACAGCCGCTGCAGAAGTCACGGAGGTCCCAGAAAGTCATGGAATCTGTGACTTCCGTGACAAACTTGCAGCCTTAATCATAATGCATATGGACAAGAATTAAATTAAAATTGCATGACCATTTCTTAACTTTTGAGTGCTTGACTTTGCAGACTTTCTTTTAATGTACCTTTTGTGTGTGTGTAATTTCCTAGGTTTTTTAAAAAAGTCAAATTAAGAGACGAAATTTCATAAAGGGAACATCATACATGGTTCATTACAAGGGTTAGAACCTGTAGATCCACAACAGAGACTTCTGCCTCTTTAGTAGCTGCCAGGCTGTCATTCTCTGAGAGCCAGGCACTAGAACTGAAACATTTTGCCCCTGGGTTTCACAGCTATTTGCTGACAGCAGAGGAATGCAGAGATTCAGAAATCCAGGGTTCTACTTCACGTTCTCAGGGAGAATACTCTAGTGATTACAGAACCATCTTCCTCAGCCCCTCCAGCTTGTGCTTGGCCTAGTCCACCCCCTGGGACCACTCATCCACCGCCTACTAACTGGTTCCTCATCCTAGTCTCCCACTTGCCAGCCCTCCGGATGTCTCTGCACCCATCTGCATTTCAGTCAGATTGTTTCCTTCTTGCTGCCAAGGAACCAGCAGGTGGAGCATTGAGCACACTGGAGAGTCTCCCCGCTCTCAGTCCCTGTGCAGTGCCACTGCAGCCCGACTGCTGGGAAAAGCCTGTTCAGCCCACGGAGTATGCTCAGTACAGATGGAATCAGAGAATCTACCTGCCAAACTCAAACTCTGCATGAGAAGGGCGATTTTCAGAGGCTCATAACCTGGCCAAATTTTCACAAGGATGTTACAAGACATATTCCTTACACCAGGGTGACCCTTTATCCAAATTTCAAGTCCCTGCTCCAAAGCATGGAGGTGCTTACAATGAAAGTAGTAAGAGCTTAGTAAATCAATGTATTTTTCCCAAACCTCATCCTGAGAAACAGCTGAACTGATTTTGCTTACGTTTTCCAAAAATTTCAGCCTGAGGCAAACACCCATCACAAAATTTGTGCCTGAAGTTTAAAGTAATAAGCAGGGCCTGAAAACAGGGTCCTATAATGGAAAGGGTTGGGCAGACTCCAAACATTGCTACATGCATGGCATATAATTAAGTATGAATATTCAAAACACAACAAGAGGTTTGTCATGGGTTTGAAAGGCTTGCACCAACTGTTCACAAATTGCCATCTGAAGTTCGGTTTAGATACTTGTTCAAAGAAGCAGCCTTTGTGTAAAAAGAGTGATGAAACGGGACTTTCAGTTTTCTTGGAATTAGCTGTAACTGCTAACCCATTTCTGGTCAAGATAGGATTGAACCACTACAATTTGCTGATTAATCCTGAATCAAGCCCCATGAGAAACAGAAGCTGTCCTTTAAACAATAAGCCATGTTCTTAAGAGCACACAGAACACCTACTTTGCTGCAATGCCTGGACAGGAATGCAAGGAAGAGACATGTTTCCCTTTTTTAAAGGCATGTAATGACATACCTGGAATGCTGCCTCATACATGTTGAGTGCCTTCGAAATAGAAGCCGTTGGTGGAAGCAGATACCAGAGGTGGATAGCAATAGAACGCTTCCAGTCCAGCTGTGAGCACACATTAATGCTTTTTCTCTCAGATAACTGCCACACCTGAACAACAGATTGCAAGGGTTAAAGCAGGTTTGCAGTAAATGTTACACTGAGAATGAGCAATGTTTAGTTTTGTAGCCTTCTGACTAGATATGAGCAACATTTACCACTGAAAGGATGCATTAGGAAGAGACCAAATGAATCCCTTTGTATTTAATAGTTAGAGACTGGACACATGCCATTGGACTGCATGTGTTGGGAAGTCAGTATAATACTCCTTTTAACAGTGACTCTAGGACATGTGCTCCTCACTTGGCAAAAGCTAGTCTACAACAGCAGTTCTCAACCAAGGGTCCAAGGCCCCCGGGGGGCCTCAAGCAGGTTTCAGGGGGTCTGCCAAAATATACCGGAGAGCAGGGCCAGCGTTAGGAATCTCTGGGGCCGAGGGCAGAAAGCCAAAGCCCGAGGGCTGCTACGCGAGGCTGAAGGTGAAACAGAAACCCTGCTGAATGGGTATGAAGCGAAAGCCTGAGCAACTTCGGTTTGCGGGGCCTCCTGTGGCATGGGGTCCCCTGGCAATTGCCCTGCTTGCTACACCCTAACACCGGCCCTGGCTTTTAATCTACTGGATATGCTGAAAAACAGTTGTGGCACAGGCAGGCCATAGAGTTTTTAATAGCATGCTGGGCCTCAAAGAAAAAGGTGAGAACCCCTGGTCTACAAGACATACTCGTTTATTTTTCCTATCTAGCAGTAGCTAACTTTCCATTATATAGATGTGACAGATTGTCAGCAAGACTTACGGGCTTCCCAGCCAGCAGAGCAAAGATGCGCAATCTCTCCTCCTGGATGAAGCAGTCTGCCTGCAATCCATGCCAGTCCACTAATTGCATTGTGAGGAGCTCCCGAACCTGCTGGCTGCCTACCAACTGGGAGAGGAGAAGGGCAAGCCTGTGATCTCCTGAAGGAAATAAAACTGCATGTCAGCAGAGTTTTCTGGGACATCACAGACCACAATCCTACAACATGCAGTTTGGTTGGCTTGGAAAATGAGGCTGTTTTCTAGTTCCTTATGCAATAACAGTTGAGCACAGTGGGATGGTAGGAAACAAGTGAACAAGGGGATTTAAAAAAATGGAGGTAACGTACTTTAAAGTCAGAAGTATGGAAATTAAAGTTAAAGTTAGACTAATTAGGTTTCCTTCAGAATCAGCCATAAGCGCAAGAAAGAACCAGGAAGGCAAGAAAAAGTTCAGTATTGTTAAAAGCTGAAGTAGTCATTTGAGCCAAACAAGTATGCTTCAAAAACCAATACCCAGCCCTAGAAGTTTAAATTATAGCTTGTAAAAACACAAACACCGTAATCAGTTATATTAGCGGTCATTGCTATTTGCACTGATCAAGGAAAGAGTAAGTTTCTGGTGTACACGTCACAGATTACAGCCATTAATTAGAGAATGGTGGAAGTAAATGGCTTCCAGAGCATGTGCTCTTCCTACCTACACACTGTCACAACACAGAACTAAGAACTGGCCCAATTACAGTTGCTTTGCTACAGCAACGTTCAAGGCAGATTTACTGGGCTAGAAAGCAAGCTCTGAACACAGCAGATTGACATTATAACACTGAAATATGAGTTACAAGTAACAGCTGTAAGGTTCCCCAGATAAATCAGCAGAAAGTGGCTAAGCTATTCCTCTCTCAGTCTTAAGCTAGTAAAAATCAATACACTGAGTAGTCAGTTCCTCTCAGTAGGAAATCACTAAAGCCTCAGCCTAGGTATTAGAGTTTGAAGTGTAAAATGCCCTGTACCAGATTCCATCCTGAGGGAGACCAAGGTTTCTTCTCCTGTCCCCCAAAAATATTTGCAGTAGAAACATCTGATTTGCCCCCTTGTACACTCTCCTCAATAACCATGCAATTTCTGCAGTAAGGCTGAATCTAACATTGATCTTGATATCAATGAGGAAAAAATGCAGCAGTCTCTGTATATCCCAAAGTCAGCTGTGAGTTGTAAGCTTCTTACCTGATTGCTGTGCCACCCTACAAGCCTCACTGATCCTCTTCCCAGTAAGGTAGCTAAACACAGCCTCTATGTGGTTCTCGTGCTGGGACAGTGAGACTTCCTCTTCGATTCGTGCTGCTGCAGTCTGCGATAACCAGCGGGAGAAGGCTTTCCTACGCTCCAGGGTTACAATGTACTCACTGGGCTCCTCCAAGCTGGCTTCTAACTCCTTCAGGTGGCCCCAGATTGCCTCACACAACATCCATGTCAAACACCAGTACTTCACAACAGCTGGAGAACAAAAAATTAAGTGGTCACAAAAGAGAGACATACGTACTAGGAATTTGGAACAATGCTGTAGAGGGGGCTGTGTCAGTCCTATATTTGTCCTACATTCATAGGGGATTAGACTACTTACTTTTAAATTTAAATCAGCTGATTAGCACTCCACAATGCATCAGCCCAGCATGCATCTGATCCAGCCATTTTAAAGTCAATAAAACCAAAGGAGGTGGCCACAACCAGTTGACTATTTTAAATGCCTGCCAATACAGTAAACACTATCCTGGAGAAAGATCGAGAAAGTTTTGCTCCTTTCTGTGTTTTTGTATTTCCAATTCTCCGTTCATTTTATTCAGATTGTGCTGCACTGAAGTTATTTGAAGTGAACTTGTACTAAACTGCTCTATCACTTAGATTCTATGCTCCCCCAATGTATATAACTTGACACTCACATTCTATTTCAGCTGAGTCGCCACAAAAGTCTCTAACCCAGTCAGCATAGTCATGGATGGCGGACACTCCTGGGTTGGCTGCTAAGAGAGGACAACGTTCATCTACATGGACAGTACTGTGTTTGAGCTTTATCTCCAGAGGGATGAGGTATAACTGCTGGTCTCTGTCTGTCTTCCTTCGTTCTAAGGTCAGCTTCTCTATATGAACCTTGAAGGGAGATTCTGAAAGTCTGGGGAAGATAACAGTAGTATTGGAAAGATATAGATACTTAACAAGACTAACAGATGTGTAAAATAATTCTTATGTAGAAACACACCTCTCCTGTTCCTGATCATCAGGTGGATAATAAATCCAGAACCCATTTCTCTACCTGAATGGGATGTCAATATATTCAATAGGTACTCAATCCCAGGAACAAATAAGGGCCAAATTGTGGAAGCTGTGGTTACAGAATGAACTGCAAACATCCTGAAACTGACAGTGTGCTTGAATCATGGGACATGAGGAAACCTGATCCTAGAATTTCATCCCTTATTTGGAACACAACTACCCAAACTATAGTACTTCTATAAAAACATTTCTAGAGTTATGGACACATCATCAGGAAGCACTAGCCTAATGTCCCTGCGTACTCCATTGCAAGCTTGACCTACATTCTGCAGCTCGCTGGAGCAGCAGACAGGAAGCTCTTTGAAAGTTTCATTTAAAGGGGAGATGCTCCAGTATTCCCAACACTAAATGTCAACCCACACTAGCAGCACTCAGTGGGGAAGATATGGGCCCATATTTATTCACAGCTTCATAGTGCTTAAGGCCAGAAGGGGCTGTTAGACCATCTAGTCTGACCGCCTATACATCACAGGCCCACAAATTTTTACCCAATACAAGATTCAACAAGGTTCACTTTAAAGGCAAGGACAGATGGCTCTCTATATACTCCAGTATATCTGCAAGGGAGAACTAGTCTTATGGATTACCACTCACGATTTAGGAGCAACAGGAGTTGGCAAGAATCCATATTCCATAGAGTCATTGCGAAGATCCTCAGGCTCACTTGACCCACTCAGTTTATCTCCACTATTTACAAGAGTCCAATTGGGTCCCCAACCAACGCGAAATGAGCGTCCCATGAAGAGTGCCATATCCATTAGGAGTTTTCCTTTTCCATAAGTGACAGATTTTTCCAGAGGTATTAGCCCCTGCTGCCTACAGGCACCCACTGTTTTCAGCTGCACCTCTGGGGCTGCGCTGGGCATGGAGAATGCAGAGGGTAGTGGGGAAAGCCCAGACCAAGAGGCTGCAGATGGAGGATTGCCTAAAGAGGAAGTTCTTGGTCCATGAAAATCTTGCAGAGAAGCACTTTGGAGGAAAGACACACTTGCAAATTTTGATTGCAGCAGCCCTCCAACTGAAAGGAAGATTGGAGAAAGTAAGGAAACTCAAGGTCTCTGCATTTAACAGGTCATTTAAGATGTTCTGAAATTCCACCAAAACTATTCAGAGCAGCTAGTAGTCAATAGCATTTACTATACAGTTAGGCATGCCTGGTTTTAACACAGCTGACTGTAGCATGAATGGGACAACAATTATGGTCATGAACAGTCACATACTAGGCTATAGCACAATTGTCCAAGCCATGGTACAAACTAAGCACTACACCAACAAGGGCCTTTAAGTACCTCAGAGAAAGAACAGATGCCTCTCTGTGCCAGACAAATGTGTGTGGCCTTAGACAGATTTAGAACAGACATGGCTTTAGTCACCTGAAGATGCCTCAGGAAACAGTAAGCATTGCTATTAAGTACCACTGGACTTAAATTGGCTCCTTATGGAGACACCCCAGTTAAGCACACTTCATTTAAGTGGACCATGCAGTGCTAATGTTGGCAACATTGCAACTTTCTTAAATATACAAGCTACGTTTTCTCTTGTGGTCATAGTTGTCAGTTATGCGCACGCAATTCCTGCTCATGTCAAAGTGAGCTGCATGTGTAATTAATAGCAAAATACCCTTACTGGCAGTTAATTAGTATTAAACCCAATCTCTTTATACCATCCTAATGCTCTCAAATGGGTATTTAAATAATGACCCAGTCTGAACACTGTTAGAGATCAGACTTGAAAGAGAGTCAGTATCTAGGTTAGGATAATTCACAAGAGACACCAGCTGCCCAAAACAAGTTTTAAATGTTGGTTTTTCCCAAACTATTTTAAAGTGAACACCTGTGGGTATCTCCTGGTGCAGACATATGGATCCTTACAGTACCTGAGGAGTGTCTTTTCTGTCCTTGCAATGCTGAAATTGGAAGCCTGGGAGAGCAGATCTCTTGAGAAGTATCCATTTTTGTAGGCTGTTTGCCAAAGTGATGATCCAGGATCAAGTCTACATCCTCTTCATCAGCGAGCAAGGAAGCTTTCATGATCTAAAATGATCATAGAACAAGACTGCATGCTAGCACAACAACCCCTTGATACAAATTAGCAGTGGCTAGCAGGTCTGACTAGTGTCTTCCAAAAAAACAAGCCACCTTTAAAAGTTACATATGAACCACCACTGATCCATTCATGCTGAAACTTACATTTCAAATTAGATCATGAGTTATCTGATGGGATGGTTATAAAATGAACTAAAAGCAATCTATTATGAGGAACCAGCGATTTAAGTCACCTGCTAAACTACAATAGCAGTGTCCTATTTAATATCCAATACTGATCAATACGACCTTAGGTGCTGATACAATGTTATCTCAGACCTTGTTTAGGTTGTCAGTACTCAAATGGAAAACCAAGTAGTAACTGAGTACTGCAAGTGGGGGAGTTGTATTAGTTTTCCTTTGACCCAATATTAAAATGCTAAAATAGTCACCCATATATAGCATCTTGAGCACTATTTTTCAGCTGAGACAGCAAATAGTGGTCCTGTGTACTACTGGTCACATTATCCAGATTTTCATAGGAGCAGGTGTGATAGCCTGTCCTGGCTGGACACCAACGCAGGCCATCACAGTACTTACTTGAATTCTTCTGTTTTAATCAGAAGAGACCTTTTTAACCTCCTCCCATAAAGCACTTTACCAATGATTAATACAGTAAAGCTCTTTGAGATTCCTGGGTATGGTAGATGAAATATATATTGTAATGTTCCAAGTTGTATATAAATAATATGCTCAAATCTGAAGACAAGCCACAGTGATGTGTCAGAAATTGGGCAGATGGATAAAGCAAGAGCAGGGCCTATCACTTAGATAACTGTAGGAAGAGCAAGCTGCTCACCTGTAAGACGTGGGGGTTTATACCAAGTGAAGATGCAATGTGCGTTGAAGCAGGCACCAGTTCCGGCTCTTCTGTAATGCTATCTTCTAGTACTGAATCCTGAGCTGGTTCCTGGGTGATGTCAGCCATATCACTGTCCAGTTCCACAACCCTTCCCAGCTGTTCCACTTCTGGGCTCTGCAGACACCAAAGACATGGAAACCATGTTAGAGGATAGCAGATTCTGGGTCAGTTAAGAGAGAAAGCAAGAATATTCAATGGCTTCAACAATCACCTGCAAGTGAGAGAAGTATTCACTGCTCATTTCTGGGTTCCAAGTTAGACTCTAGGTTGTAGATCCTGGAGCGCATCATCAAGGATCTACAACCTATCCTGAAGGACGATCCCTCACTCTCACAGACCTTCGGAGACACGCCAGTCCTCCTTTACAGACAGCCCCCCAAACTTGAAGCAAATACTCACCAGCAACTACACACCACAACACAAAAACACTAACCCAGGAACCAATCCCTGCAACAAACCCCATTGCCAATTCTGTCCACATATCTATTCAAGGGACATCATCATAAGACCTAACCACATCAGCGACACCATCAGGGGCTCGTTCACCTGCACATCTACCAATGTGATACATGCCATCATGTGCCAGCAATGCCCCTCTGCCATGTACATTGGCCAAACCGGACAGTCTCTGCACAAGAGAATTAATGGACACAAATCACACATCAAGAATTGTAACATTCAAAAGCCACTAGGAGAGCACTTCAATCTCCCTGGACACTCGATAACAGACTTAAAGGTGGCAATTCTTCAACAAACAAAACTTCAAAAACAGACTTCAACGAGAAACTGCAGAACTGCAATTAATTTGTAAACTGGACACCATCAAATTAGGCCAGAATAAAGCCTGGGAGTGGATGGGTCACTACAAAAAGTAATTTTCCCTCTGTTGATACTCTCACCTTCTTGTCAACTATTGGGAATGGGTGATGTCCACCTTGATTGAATTGGCCTCATTAGCAATGACCCCCCACTTCGTAAGGTAACTCCCATCTTTTCATGGGCTTATATATATATATATATATATATATATACATATACATATACATATACACACACACACACATACACACATATACACACACACACACACACACACACACATATACACACACACACACACACACTGCTTACTGTATTTTCCATTCCATGCATCTGATGAAGTGGGTTTTAGCCCATGAAAGCTTATGCCCAAATAAATTTGTTAGTCTCTAAGGTGCCACAAGGACTCCTTGTTGTTTTTGCTGATACAGACTAACATGGCTACCACGCTGAAAACTGAAGTTGTAACAGCAGGCAGCCACATACTTTGTTTTTATTAAGAAGTTCCTAGCAGTAATCATGACCAGGTATTTACAGCGTGCTAATAAGATTTGCAAAATTAAGTATGTTTAGGATCAAAAGCACAAGTTTCACTGACCCATCCAAAAGCTGGGGATTTTAGTAAAGTAAGTTACCTTGTACCATTCATAGCACCTTCCATATGTGGACCTTAAAGCACTTTACAAACAACGAAGAATTAAGCTTCAACATCCCTGCGAAGGAGCCACTATACCAAGCACACAAGATGCAATCAGAATGAGCCAGTTACTAAGCCTTGCATATTCTTACCCTGTGCATTTCAAGTCATAGCAGTTGACCTGACATGATTTTACTCTTTTACTGCATTTGCATTGTTGAACCAATGCATTAATGGAAGGGAGAGTTAGATTCTGCTCCTTCTTGTGCATCAGATGAAGTTTATTTCAGGTGCAAAATCTTTTAGTTGCGATGATGCACAAGCCAGAAAGAACACAACTTAACTGTTGCAAACCAGAACCTGAAAAATCAGACCATCACACTGAGAAACTTTACTCAAGGCCAATGAACAGATATAAACTCATTCTAAAAAATTTCAGAAATAGAACCACAAAGACTGGGGCAGCACTAGGAATAGAACCTAGATCTACGTTCTAAACCTTTGCCTTAACCATAAATGCATCGTATTTCCTGGCTCTTCACATCAACCATTTGATGAGTTTTAAATCCATACTATATAGCCTCCTGATGTTTCTGTATTAAGTCTGGGCAACTTTTTGCCCCTTACAACATCCAAACCTACAGCAGCAATACAAAATACAAAGAGGTACACTATATCTTGGCTCCTAACAGAAAAGGGCAGCCCACAAGAACAGTTAAGTGAACATTCACAAAATCAGAAGATTCCCTTGTTTTTCCCATTTGAGGGTTTTTGTTGGGGATGGTGAGGGGAGGGAATAGGAAAAAACACACACACACACACACACCCCTACCTATAAGACTAGTCCTTTCCAGTCACCCAGTTCAGTATTTTTTCAGAAATGTAAGTGCTTCAGGAGTTTGATTTACCAGAACAAACTGCACTTAAGTGACCAGCGAACCAAGACAGAAGGTGAAAACGCAGCCTTCGGTGCTTCAAGGTCCTTTTACTGGGGCAGAGTACAAAAGCTTAGCCTGGCTGCCTAAAGACAGGAGTCCCACAAGATGTGCCATTGATAGCTATAATATGGTGCTGTGCCCAGATTATCAGCACTGCTGCATCTCTGCCAGTCTCCTACCTCTGGTGCCTCCTTACCTGTATGACAAGCAGAGTTGCTTTGTCACCTGACTCCTGAAAGCCATCAGTGCTAGTTATACTTAGGGAGGCTGATGCAAAAAGAACTTTCCCTCATGGGCCAAATACCCTGCATTTTGACAGAGTGCAGAGTCTGAATGGTTCACTTCTCCAGGGACCTGATATTAACCTTCCCTAGGCAGAAAAGCATTCCCAATTCAGTTTTCTGAGGGTCTCCAGCACAAAAACGGAATACGACTAGACTGGAGAGATTGTCAGCAGAAGGTAAGTATGCACTTTAAAAGGCTTCCCCACACACAGCCTATGTGATGCCAGTTACTTCTTGCTAAGGGGCTCATTCTGTTCTTCACTAGGCTGTGCAAGTTCACTGCCTCTCCTTACCCACAAAAATCGCAGCAGGAGAACCAGGGGCAAAAGGACTATTTACCATGTCTTGTCTAAAAGCTTGACCATTGGCCAATGCTGACAATTCCTCCATGACCTACAGAAAAGCACACCATGCATACTGGCCAAGTAGAAGCTCACTGTTCATGCCTGAGTGAACTGCAAGCCTGGAGATCTGCCTTCACTAATGAATGGAATATTGAAATTGCTTATGACCTGAAACAAAAGCCTTTCCCTTAAAAATGCAATTCGGCAGCTATGGATTGGCATCCTTTTATTCTGCTCTCCTGCATACGACCGAGTCCTCTATGTCAACACAAATAGCAATAGGTTGGACACCAAGGACTGGATTGCAGGATTGGACACCAAGAATCCTGCTCAAGGCCTTTACATTCTGCATTCAACTTGAGCCCTACTTTGTATTGACAATTTTTTTTGACATAAGTGCTTGGTTGTATAATTACCATGAACACCTCCATTATAAAATGCTTTTCTTCTCCATTAACACCAAGATCTACCATATATACTTGTTCATTAGCCCGTTTGTTTATAAGCCGACCCCCTCCCCCCCGATGGTTAAGTAAAAATAGCAAAAACTGTATGACCTTTCATAAGCCGACCCTATATTTCAGGGGTGACAAACTTTGGCTCCTGGCCCGTTCAGTTAAGCCACTAGCGGGGCCTGGATGTTTTGTTTACCTGAAGCGTTCAGAGGCACGGAGCCCCTCAGCTCCCAGTGTCCACGGTTTGCCGTTCCCAAACCGCAAACCGTGGACACTGGGAGCTATGGGGCTCCGTGCCTGCGAACGCTCCAGGTAAACAAAACAACAACGTATTAGATATTCAATTCAAAGATTCCATAGAGTTTAAAATCAAATTTTGGTGTAGACCAGTTTATAAGCCAACCCCCACTCTTTGATGCGTCACTTTACCAAAAATATTTGGCTTATGAACGAGTATATACGGTAATTTAGTTTACTGTCGGCAGTGTTTTTTCCAATGTTAGATAGGGAAAGTGGAAAAAGTGTTCCATTTTCATTTAAATCTGACAATTGCTTGTAACCATTCAAAATTTAGGATGTAGCTACATAGGCTGGTGCCAAGAATTGGCTAAAATGCCATCTTCCTAGAAGGCAAGTATATACACATATACCAGGGGTAGGCAACCTATGGCACACGTGCCGAAGGCAGCACGCGAGCTGATTTTCAGTGGCACTCACACTGCCCGGGTCCTGGCCACCGGTCTGGGGGACTCTGCATTTTAGTTTAATTTTAAATGAAGCTTCTTAAACATTTTAAAAACCTTATTTACTTTACATACAACAATAGTTTAGTTATATATTATAGACTTACAGAAAGAGACCTTCTAAAAACGTTAAAATGTATTACTGGCACGCCAAACCTTAAATTAAAGTGAATAAATGAAGACTCGGCACACCACTTCTGAAAGGTTGCCGACCCCTGGCATATACTATGACCCAATAATGAATTGGAACAAAAAAACTTCAGAATGCAACAATTGCACCGCACCCCACCCCACTCCAATACATTTTAAGAAATTAGTTGTATAGCCAAACTTGTAAAAACTTTAGATCTTATTTTAATAAAGTAGAGTACATTCTTAAAATACCAGAATACAAGTTTGCATGCAGAATGAGGTTTGAAGATACAGACAATCTAAAAACCTAATGCACAAAGCAATTTGTTTTTAGGTGCTGGAGGCAGCATGACTGGCAAGAGTTATATTGCACATATTTGAGAATATTAACAAAACCATGTTTTCTTCTACAGTTAGTGCAAATGCGCCATATCCTTGTTTAGATCCCAGATTTGTAGAAGTGATCAGATTACCAAAAAACCTCAAGATACCGTCAACAAAAACGCTAATTTCAAACAAAGGATGTGAGGACAAGGGAGTGCACGCCAAGTATACATAGATCTTGCAAATATCCTGTAGGAGACCAGAAGTACCACCCCAGTTTGAGTAAGCTCGGTTCTAAAAATGCTTTGCGTTCTTCTGTCTCCAAGGCATTTGCAATAGTAACGGCTCTGTCTTAGGGCAAATAGCTATTCCTCAAACTTCATTTTATGGATAACTTCAAGTCACTGTTTTTTCTACCTGAGATGGAGGCGTTGGCTTGCCATTTAGAGCCATTTGTTGGGGCACCAGCTGCCCCTGGGGTGGCACTTGGGCAGTTTTTAACTTCTTTGCGTCCACTTTTGAAGGATGCTCCTCCTCTTCCTCATCAGAATCTTGCAAGCCATATTTAGAGAAGTGAGCCACCTGTTCAATGAGAAAAGCCAAAGTGTTGCTAATAGGGACACAGACATGGGGAAGATTTTTCAAAGGCACAGATGGGAGTTGGTGCACAACTACTACTGACTTCATATGGAGCTGGGTGTTTAGCTGCCCCTTGGGTCTGAAAGTCTCCCCTTAAATATTCTAATGAGTAACTGCATACTGAAGCATAAACGAACTCTGACGGAGTTCAATCTTTGTATAAAACACCACATATATGCGAGATCAGTTCTTAACAAAATCACCTGGGAGTTATTTTGGACAGTTTGCACATTGTGACTATTACAATCAGAACGATCTGTATATTACTTGAAAAACTTTAGTACTACAATTCATGAGTTAAATGGATCAACAAGAGCACTTTAAAACCTTAAACAAGTATAAAAAAAGCCTGTTGAATAAAGGCACTGGAATTACAGCATTGACAGCTATTGGTTTAATGAGGGATTCTGACTTCTGTTCCACCCAGATCTTTCTGTAATACACAGTTTATGAGCAGTCAGCGATCAGTAACCGTGAACATTACCTTGAATACCCAAGAACCAGTCTCTGAACGGTATTCTTTGAACTGGGCTCCCTGCTTCCGAGATACAGCCTCCAGTCTGCCTTCATAATTGATATCTGCTAGTCGTTCTGGGCTCTTTATCAAGCAGCGAGATGTTTTATCCGTTGGCCAAACTCCATCCAATGTAACTTCAGCTCGTCTGTTAAAATGTAGACCATGGAAGAGCATGAGATAATTGAGCTTTGAAACGAGGCATTCAAAAAAAGTTTACATCAAGTTCAAAACAAACCACAAGCATTGGCTCAAACACTGAAAAATCCATGTACCACGCTTTAGTTCAGAAACATTATTGTCACTGACCAGTAGGCTTTGTCCAAGATTAATAACCTGAATTATGCCTGAAAAAAGGGTTTAGATTTGCGGGCTGCTGGGATAGCTAAAATAGAAAGAGACCCATATGGATGACAATAAGGGTGATAGGTTTACCAAAATCTATTTACCAGGCTACTCCCACCCTCCCAAAGAGGGCACATGAAAAGTTTGAATTACCTATTTAAACCTTCACCAATAGGTGGCTTCTGATCATCATCAGGATAGACAATAACTTCTTTCCTGCGGATGTGCACAATCTCATCCAGATTTAAGTTAGTTAGATTTACCTCTCCTTCAAAGTAAATTGATCCATAACCTGGAAAGTAAACCAAACACAACTTGTACTTCTGCTCCAATAGCAAATGCTGTAATACCACCCTGGAGAAGTGCATTGGCAAACTCTCCAATATAAGTATTCACATTTTGTTCATCTTACCTGAACTATCCTTAAATTGCCATTCAAACTCCTGTTATTCCATTCCACTGACACCAAGTAATTGAGCAGTTTTACTATTATCTTTTTCCATTCTAAAAGGATGATAGTTTCAGTCTGTTGGCCATTGCTCCCTCAAAGTAATAAATTTGGGGCCTTAAGTATCTTTTCTAGACCACTTAAGTTGGTCACTCCTCCTGGGTGGTCCTATCCTCTATTTTTAATGTGTCTCCATGCTGAATTCAAAGTACTAGAACTGCACACAATATCCTACGTGCATATACAACAGCAAGACTGACCCCAAGTAGTTGTATAACCAAACTAGTTTTACATTCAATTCCTTTATATAGTCATAAGGTTTTTGATAGTAGTACTAACCTGGCCGCTCATACTGCATCTGTGATCAGCACCTATCTTTTCCCAAACACTCATTGAGAATTACAAAGTTATGATTTCGTCCAGGGACAGTGTCAGATTTTAAGTATTCAAATCTTTCCATTTTCCAATAATCATGGTATTATAACTGGATTTGTAAAAATCCAGTTTGAAGCTCAAGAAGTGAACAAGTAATGAATAGCACTCAGCTTGGCCAATAAAGCTGAGCTAGACAGTTCTATGGAAAATACTGAGTCCAAGTTTTGGACCTAAGCTACCCTCAATATCTGAAGAACTATTGAAAGTGTTGTTCTTTTCAGATACCAGGTGTTGGAATTTTACAAGCTATGATTTTAGTTTCACTGTGTAGCCCTAATTCATGCAGCTTAAGAGTGTAGCCAATTTGAAAAAATTTTATAAAGCTTTTGTCGCCTAGGGATGATGAATTTCCGAAGCAAAGTAGCGATTTTACATTCATGATGGGGGGAGGGGTAGCTCAGTGGTTTGAGCATTGGCCTGCTAAACCCAGGGTTGTGAGTTCAATCCTTGAGGAGGCCATTTAGAGGACTGGGGTAAAAATCTGTCTGGGGATTGGTCCTGCTTTGAGCAGGGGATTGGACTAGATGACCTCCTGAGGTCCCTTCCAACCCTGATATTCTATGAAGAAATACAAAGCCCAGGCTTTAAAGCTCTAAAGAGTTGGTGGCAGGAGAACACATATCCAAAATGATTCTATACTCACCTTTACGACCTATAGTGAAATCAGTCACAATACACTCTCCTCTGTCAGTGGTAAGTTTGGCTAGATCCTCCATAGACGGGATGGTGTAGTAGCCAGCTTTTGTTAGAACAATTCCTACAGTAGAAAATAATTGAGCACACAGATGAGGACAAGACTAACTTCAGAAATGTTCTTAATCATTTGCCAAGAAAACTGAAGGACAGCTGAGGGGCCATAAACAGAAGTTGGGAATCAGTACAAAGTAAACAAAGTAACAGAAGCCAGAGTACAGACCTCTTAACAGTGTCAAGTTTATATTACTTTACAGTGAGAAATTCCATGCACTGAGTATCTTATCTAAGGTAAGATGAAAACATGGAACATCTTGGGTAAGAGGGAGAGGAGAAGGTAGGAAGATTTGTTTTTTTTGAGGAATGGCATTTGGTGGAGAGAAAGCTGGAAATTATTCAAGGGCAGTATACATTAAAAATAAAGCAAAGGAGGGGGGTCAAAGGACAAGCAAGAGAAGGATCAGGAAGGAGTAAGACTAAAGATAGAGCAGCACCACACAGCAGTGCGAATCTGACCTGCTGGGTGCAGACTATATACATTCTCATTCTCCTCTTCTCGGTCATCCTGCAGTGACTCATCATGAAATGAAGCATCTTCACTGCTGCCTTCCAGGCCATTCCGCAAGGCAACCCGCATATTCAGAGCCACAATGGTATCGTCCACATTATTCTGGTGTTTGTGCACTGCATTCTCTGGGGTCTGTGGGATGGGCTTGGCAATGGGGTTAGTGTAAAATCTAGTCACTTCATGGTGATCGTCCTCTTCCTCTCGCTCACCCTCCGGTCTGTGGTTCTCATCAACCGATCTGGATAGAAAGTTGAACCTAAAGAAAGAATGAAGCCATTCAAACACATTCATTTCTGAAGAAATCTTGTGTCCGTGTTACAACACATATTTGTTTCTCATCTCATAACAGGGCACACCAGATTCTTCCTGTTGTGTGGCAGTGTACGTCCACATGTAACACTAGACATTAGTGCCTGGAACATATATTACATTATTTTGGGAAAATGGGTTTAGAGTTGATTACGTCTTGCTGCCCAAAGGATCAAGCTAACCTTAGGGTGGGGATGCCTAGTTCACAACTGGCAGCCTCAGCAATATAGACTGAGTGGGCACATGGCTAGTGTATTTCCCTAATCCTTACTAGGTGGTGACTCCAGGTGAGAACGGAGACTAGAGCTGATCAGGAATTTAACAAGATGTTTGGCATTTTCTAATGAATAATTTGTTGAACCTGAAACTATTTGTAGAAATGGGTCAGTTATGACAAGTTTGTTTCAAAAGATTTGGAAAAAAGTGTTTTGAAATTGTTGTAATGGGATATTTAGACCTGACGCAAACATTTTTGATTGTCTATTTGCAGGTCTGGATGGGAATTTCCCCTCCCCCACCCCCCAAAAGCTTGGAAGTTTTCCAGGGATGGGAAACAGTTTCCTGCCCAGCTCTAATTGATATACTGGTGAGGAAGCCTGTACTGTTCATAAGAAAGGTCATACTGGGTAAGAGGAGTGGTCCATCTAGCCCAGCATCCTGTCTTCCAACAATGGCCAGACCCAGAGCTTCAGAGAGAGCATACAGAAAAGAATAAATTTACAGAGATCCACCCGTCTTCCTCTCACGGCTTCTGGCGGTCAGAAGTTTTAGGTTGCCCAAAGCATGGGGTTATATACCTGATCTTGGCTAATAGCCATTGATAGACCTATCCTCCGTGAACTTATCTAGTTTTTTTTAATCCAGTTATACTTTTGGCCATCACATCATCCTGTGGCAATATACTCCACAGGACAACTGCGGGCTGTGTGAAAAAGTATTTCCTGTATTAAACATGCTACCTATTAATTCCAATGGGCGACCACTGGTTTTTGTACTGAGGGAAAGGGTAAACAACAACATTTTATTCACTTTTTCCACACCATTCATGATTTTATAGACCTCTCTAGTACAGAAGCTGTTCCACAACTTGATTATCTTTGTTGCTTAAACATCTCTGTTAACCTCCTAGAACCTGAAGTCCCTCTATAAACAGCTTGTTTTACAATTAATTTTAGTCTCAACTAGATGGAAAAAAATCAGTCATACAAAAATCTATTTGTTATCAGTCCATATTCTTATTTGGATATTTAAAACATACCTACTGCCATGACATCAGCATTGCAAAGATGTCTATAAACAGCTCTCATAGTACTGTTACGCTACTGAAAACTTAGTGGATCCCACAAACAGCTATGCGCTTATTTCTAAGCAAGCGGGTTATGCACTGTAGAGATTTAGATTCTAGAGAGCTTTTTTCATAGGTTTATTTGTTTAGGAGAAAGTATTAATTAAATACTGTTTCCTAGCAGCATAATCAGCTGTGTCACATATAAACATACCGCTCTCCATTCTCTGGATACTCGGATGGAGGTTCCAGATCTTCAGCTTCACGACTGATAGGAGAAAACAAGTTGCTGCTGTTGAGGTTTTTCAAAACCAGCTTCTTGATGCTCTTCCTAAAATATACCAAAGCAACAGTTCTCAGTGATCTGTAGCACATGAGAGCCATACTTTTGACCCAAGAGTTCCAGGGGTGGGAGAATATTTAAGCCAACTTTAAGCCACATTAGCTAACATTCTGTCATGACAATGCCATAACTACTGTCAAGTCCTGCTGGTCTTTGCCAGCAGATGGTAGCAAGAGGGGTATGAGGTGTCAGTTTGTTATTCCAATTGATGGGGGGATTGGGGGGGGGGGGGGGGGGTTTTTTAAAAAATGGGGGGGGGGGGGGGGGGGGGGGGGGGGGTGTTTTTTAAAAACACTGAGTCGGCCTTACCACCACACCACTTCAGAGGAGAGATGAAGTGACTTCCAGGACTAATATTAAATAGAAAGGCCAACCTCATACAACAGGAAGCTTTCTAAAGCCTATGTTTTATTACTGAACACAGGCCATTTCTAAAGGAGAAAAGAAAACTAACTTGGGCATGAATGCACCATTGGATAGAGATGGCTCATCATCATCCAGCCCATCAAAGAGGTGAGATTTGGAAGATCCTGCTGTCTGCAAAGCTTTCGGTCGCACTCTGGTTGCTGGTCGCGGGGTCAGTTTGTAATGGGTTGGCGTAGTCAAGGCCTTCTGGGCTGCTGGATTAGTTGGTTTCAGTCTCTGAGACAAAGAAAAACTCATGTAGCCGAAAAAATAGATTTTCAAACTACTTAAGTCTAAACAGGATTAACGTTTTCTTGTTTATTTTCACAGAAGTTAGACCAGTATTGTTGTCAGGACAAAAAACCTCTGCCCTGAACTAAAAAACAAGAATTCAGAAGTGACGTTGTAAGACAAGTTAACTATAGACATTCACCCTGTATTCTCTGTTTGGCTACTGATTTGGCAGCAACATTGCTAGCTCAATTTGAGGTCTGATTAGTGCTTTTGGCAGGTGGCTTGCTTAAACTACCACCACTTGTTTAAGAAATAAAATCAGACCTACTTAGTAAGCTATGTCAGCAATACTGCTGCTCCTTTAGAGTGAGTTTTCCCCACGCTGGTAAAGTAAGTGCCAGAATCTTACATGATAACGTTTGGAAAAAAATTGCAATGAGATCACACACATGGATTTATAATCTATAACTGTGAATTATCTAAGTGCCTGATTTTTAGAGATTCTGAGCATCTACTACATCCACAGAGCTCATTGGAAATGCCAGATGCTTGGCATCTCTGAAGACAGAAGTCTGTAATATATGACCACAATATATGCAGTTAGGTATCCCAAGCGGCTGTCTGTTGCAGATAAAATAGTGAGAATGTATGTGTTATATATAAGGCTACATTTTAGTCATGGGTATGTTTAGTAAAAGTCATGGACATGTCACAGGCAGTAAACAAAAATTCACGGGCCCATGACCTGTCCATGGGGGTCGGAGTGGAGCACCGCAGGTGCTGGGGAGGGAGGCACAGCCCGGGGGGAGGGGCAAGTGCTGTGGAGGAGGTCACGACCCAGGGAAGTACCATGGGTGCTGGGGCAGGCTCCTTACCCAGCTCCTTGGGAAGCGGCGGCCCCAGCTCCCTAAAGCTCCACATGCTGCCTCTGCTCTGCCCCAAGCCCCAGTTCTGCAGCTCCCATTGGCTGGGAACTGCAGCCAATGGGAGCTCTGGGGGTGGTGCCGGGCAGCAGCAGAAGCAGCATGTGGAGCTAGGGGAGCTGAGCCCCCCCCCCACAGGTAAGCAGCAGCCCCAACCCCAAGCTCCCCCACACCCAAACTCCTGCTGCTCTGGTTGGGGACCCTGAGATTGCCCCAGCAGCAGCCAGTGCAACTGACCCGGGGACTACCCGAGCTACTCAGGCAGCTCCTGGGACAGCCGCATGGGGCCACTGCAGAAGTCATGGTGGTCACGGAAAGTCATGGTATCTGTGACAACATGGAGCCTTAGTTATATACCATTTAGTTTCTTAACACCCCAGGATAAAGACTAGGATATTAGGAAAATGGGCCCCTAAATGTTCGTATCTTCATTTTTTAAAACTAATCCATATACAGAAGTTACAATAAACACAATCTTATCCAAAAAATGTGTTCTGAAGTATTTGAGTTCTCACCTCTTCTTTCTTCTTTGGGTCTGACATAGGGTTTCTGAAGAGAGGAGAATCTCCAAAGGGTGAGTAGGTCAAGCTGTTGAAGTGCTGCTGGAGGGCTGCTTGTTGGGCAGCTGAAACATTTGGGTCTGTCAATGCTAGATAAAGTTGAAGAGATTAATCTTTTCTAACCATGTATTTAGCACTCAGACTCATCTCAGGGCATCAGAAGTGGCCCCTTCTTTATCAGATCTGTTCCCTGTGGGTATTCACAGTTGTATCTGCGGACTTCAGTGACAGTACTTTTTACCACTGTCAGCCCTGTAAAGCCAGCTGAATTCTATTCCTTCTTGTAGATCAGAATTATTTACCAAGTTCAAATCCGTTTCACCTGTGCAAAGCTAAAATGAAGGGAGTTGTGCAGATCAGCCAGGAGCCTAATTTGGCCTGGCAGAACCTTGTAATGGTTATCTGCACTTGTTAGTTTCAACACCAGAGTGCTGCGTCCCTTCAAAGTCTAATTAATGTTGGTGCAAGACCTTTTTCTGAAGGTTCAACCATCTTAAAATTCACTTGTTCAGTTGATTATCCACCATGACCCCCAAATTTGTCAGAGTCACTGCTTCCTGGGATAGAGTCACCCTAAGTATGACCTACATTCTTTGTTCCTAGATGTATACATTCAGCCACATTATAACGTGCAATTTGCTTGCTCCTAGCTTACCAAGCAATCCAGATTGCTCTGTATCAGAGACCTCTTCATTATTTACCACTCCCCCAATTTGGGCCATCTGCAAACTGTATCAGTGATGATTTTCCAGGCCTCTGATAAAAGTTAAACAGCATAGGGCCAAGGACCAATCGCTGCAGAACCCCACTAAAAATACACCCACTCAGTGATTCCCCATTTACAATTACATTTTGAGACTTATCAGGTGGCCAGTTTTTAATCCACTTATGTCTGCCATGTTAATTTCCTATTGTTCTAGGTTTTGTTTGTTTTTTAAATGTCATGCAATATGAAATCAAACAGACTTTTGTAGGGTAAGTATATTCCACCAAACACTTACTTTTATCAACCAAACCTGCCGCCTCATTAAAAAAGAAAGTTAATTTGACAGGCTCTATCTTCCCTAAACCCAGGTTGATTTGGCATTAATTATATTATGCTCTTTGAATTTTTTACTAAATAGAGTCCTGTATCAGCCACTCCATTATCTTGCCCAGGATCTGCAACAGATACTGTTCCACTACCTTGGATTCAAGTAACTAAACTTGGTAAATTGCACTCTTACCCACAGCAGGCTGGGGAGCTCCAAAGCCCAGGGTGGCTGTTGATGTATTGAATCCAGGTGCTCCAAATGCTCCTGTTCCCAGTGTTCCACCTAATTTAGGCTGGGTGTTTCCGAATAGTGAAGTCTGCCCTGCACTAAGAGCTACACAGAGGACAGCAGCAGTTTACAGAAGGTTCCATTACGCGCTTGCAGACAAATTAAGTTTAGTCCACACATTTAAGAATTCCCTCAACTATCATCTGTTGAACTGCAAAAAGAAGTCTTACCGCACCCATTGTAAGTATATCTGTGGATTCTTACAAGTCAAGGGAATACTTTCCTGTTCTGATCACATTATTAATCTAATTCTATACATTCTCTGAACCACAGTTAACTATTAACCCTTGGTAAGCTCCTACCATTCTAACACTTTACATTAGGAAAGCCCAATTCCAACACAGATCAGGTTTAAGCAGAATAAATAAACGCTCACTAACCAGAGAGTTGAAAGTTGTTGCAGGACTAGATGCCACAATGTACTAGAAATTTCTTAAACTTGTAGCTAACTAGACAGCATAACATTCTTGTGTGAACCCTCAATACCTATTAATATCTTCTATTGCACAAGGTATTGTATGAACTGGGAAAGGGGGGAGGGGGAGGAAGAGATGTCTCTCAGAGTGCTAAAAAGACGTTTCAAAGAGTGCAGACTCAATTTCATTCTTTCTGCTCTGGGGCAGTCCAGTCTCTGGGTTTTCCCAATACCTGCCACTACAGATCCTGAACTGTTACTACAGTTAGAAAGAAATCCCAATTATGGATGCCACAGTATTACACACCATCCCCTGGAGGCTTTTTTTTTTTTTTTTTAAACCTGTTCCAAATCCTGTTCCAAGTCCAGCGCCGAGAGTTCCAGCTGCAGGCTTATTTCCGAAGATACTATTCCCAGCAGTGCTCGCACCAAAACCTAGGAGTACAAAAGAATTAGTGCACCACTTTTAAAGTTAACATTCAACTTCCTCTGCAAAGGATTCTAAGCGAACAAGCATTACCTGGCTAAGGACAACTTTGCCAACATTAGTACACCCAATAAACTTCACATGATGTTTCTGGAGCTCAAACAGAATTTAAGGCCTTCAGATGGTGAAAAGGTGTTTTAAAGCCACAGAGTTTTAAAAAGCATTTCTGTGACATCTAGATGGGGTCTAAATTTGGGCTGAGAGAAGAGTGGCTGGATTATCATTACAGACCACCAATGAAAAAGCAGCCTTGACAGTACATCAGCAAGACAGACATCACTGAGCAAAGAATCAAACTAGGACACAGTAGGAAGACAAGTGTGCTCCAAGTGAGAGCATGTCTTCACAATTAGATACCTTCAAGCAGCCATTAAAAAAAAATTGAGTTCTTACTGAAGCGTAAGTAAATAGGGACAAATAGCCAAAAGCTAATGGGTAATCTGGAAGAGCTCCACAACAAGTTGACTTTTCTGTATTAGTACTCCTCTCTACAGAAGATGGGATGGTTGAAGACTAACCAAACACTGCACAAAATCCTGCCTACCTGAAGAGGAGAGGTAAATCTAGGATTTATAAACCAACTGATGACTCAGCCATTTGAGTATTTAGAGTTCTGCACATAGGTGTTTGTATTTCCCTTGCTGCAGCATCCTGCACCCCCCGCGCACCCCCCCAAAAAACAGCAACTGCATAAAAGTTTGTAAGCAATTCCATTTGCTTATTTTCCACCCATAGTCTAAGATGATAATCAGCCCCACAGATTGACAGTAGTTGTTCATACATCATCAGGTAGGGAATATGCAGCTGCAAATTAACTTCTGTGAAAAGATCCTGTTGTCTATATATTTAATATTGAACACAAATGAATACATGAGAAAAAACTTGAAGGACTGTGAAATCTATGTTGTCTTGTTTCAGAAAATATATTTAGAGTGAGCAGGCTTGGCATTTGCCACTTTAGATTTCCTCAAAAGAGGATAGCTATGGCAAAGGATTTTAACAGTAATGTAATAGATATTCACCACTCAAGCACAACAAAAAACATTACAGAACAGTATTGCCTTCCAAGATACATTTCAATTACAGATATCAAGATTTCAGATTTTACTGAAAACCAGAAAGGATCTAGATGTGGTAGCAGAACAAGATGGTTTTAAAGTTTCTTCAACCCCACTGGACAAAACAAGTCCCATTTTACACTGTTTATACCACACACACACACACAGCTCTGATTCTTACTGAGGAAGCAGTTCACAACTCAAGTACATAGGAGTGCACAGTTCAATGCCATTTCTTTAATTTAAGTCAAATGCAATCCAAATCTAACAATAGGCAGATTAGCGGTTAAACTGAAGATTGTGAAGCCATCCAATTAAAAAGGCGGTGGTTAGTCCATGCAAGGGCAACAGAGAGAGTAACAGCACTAACATCAGAAATAAAATACCAAACTACACCTCTACCCTGATATAACACGACCCAATAGAACACGAATTAGGATATAAGGTGGAAAAGCAGCGCTCCAGGGGGGCAGGGCTGCGCACTCCGGAGGATCAAAGCAAGTTCGATATAACGCGGTAAGATTTTTTGGCTCCCGAGGACAGCGTTATATCGGGATAGAGGTGTACGATCCTCTTACAAATTGCATCAATGCAAGTATCACAGATTAGTTAAGAATGAAGCTTGCTACAGCCAACATTGTTTGCTACTGAAAGTATACACTTCAGAAAACACAAGTGCTTCAACACCAAGATTAGCAGCAGCCCAGAAACAGAATGATAGCCAATTACTCTTCTACAAAAGCTGGAACACAGGACTTAAAATTGACCTTTTCTCAAAACAAAGAACCCTCCTTTAAGCCTGACCAGCACAAATCCATCCCATGCCTGCTGGACTGTCCAGTCAAAGCTCATTTGACAGTGGCCTGAACCTATCTTTTGGGAGAGGATTACATTTCACACACTGATTTTATGCCAACATAAATCAGCATTTCAGTAGTTCTAAAGCAACTATTTCTCTCAATTTTAGCATGCAGCTTCTTTGGTCTCAGCTCTGTAAAACCAAAAGATAACAGATTTCATGGGACTTATTAAAAAGAGAACGACATCACTGACTTGGTATCTTACACAATAACCCTCTTATTCACTCAACTTTACCTACTTTTGGAGCCAACATTAATGAAATGCCCAGTATTTAACTAGTTACTAGTTCAGCTATAAATGAAGTAGTTAGATACTGCAACAAAAAATAAGTTTTACCCTGACCCTTACAGCCTCTTGGAGAATTTGTATATTGTATTCTCATTCATACCTATAAATGTTATATTGTTTGAATTAACATGCACCACGTGGTATTTGCTATTAAGTAATGGTGCATTTTTTTAAAACTCAACCATCTACCTCTTAACTGGTTCAGAGAGTACCGTCTACAAAGTCTGCAAGAAGACAGTAGCGTACTGAACCTGAAATTCCCATACAAATAGAATGCAAAATCAGTTTACAAGCAAAAGAGGAACAAGTCAATGTCCAAGACCTCAAGCTTTCCCCTTCAGCAATATGCATCAAGCACAGCTTACCTGAGAATTTTAAGATTCACAATCATTTAGTATAAGATTCAGTAGCCTGGTGTGTGGTATATTCAGTGTAACTTTAAGAGACTGAATCCCACTTTCTTATATGTACCAAAATTGGAAGTGTTTGTATTGGTTCCTAAATTCAGGGTTGGTTTGTTACCAAAGAGCCCGCTGCCAGTAGTTGTACCAAACGAAGGAGCACTGGTCGTGGTGGTTCCAAATCCAGCAGGCTTACCAAACAGGGTCTGAAAGGAGAGCAACATGCTTTTAAAACTCTGACATCTATGTTACACTTACTATGAAATGAAGTTGTAATGCACCTATGTACAAGGTAGATTTAAGGCTGCCAAGGAAAATCTCCTGATCCAAAATTAGCAGTGGCCCATTATCTACTGTGTATAAAACTTGGGCATTGGTTTAGCTGGCTGTCAGGAAAACACTGAAACAGCTACAGTGAGATGGAATTAAAAGAATTCTATTGCTGAACTAATTTAACAAGTCTATTACAAAAAAGTCAGCATCAATGTGTTCAATATCCAACTCACCAACAGAATGCCAAATTCTGTTGAATTAGTTTTTATTTTAAATAATGTGCCCATCACAGTACTATGAGCACCTACAAATGCTCTGAAGAAGCGTAGAGCTAAGGCACTCAAGATTCTTTATTACTCCTGCTACAGTTTGGTTCATTTAGCAACCCAAGGGCCTGAAGTCAAGTGTTAGCATGTAAATGCTAGAGCAAAGTTCATTACCAATATATTAAAGTATGTAAAATTAAATTCATATGTGAACTAGTGATTTTAGAAGTTAAGGATATTTTATAAGAATAGTTTTTCCACACATGTATAGGGTTTTTATTCCTTGTGCCATATGTAGTACAAAGATACTCAGACGTGAAGTGGTTTGGCTCTGCTAACAACTTTAGTCTTGTCTAAGGGCGTGTCTTCACTACCGGGGTAAATCGACCTAATTTACGGTACTCCAGCTACATGAATAACTTAGCTGGAGTTGACGAAGCTTAGGTTGACTTCACTGCACTGCGCTGATGGGAGATGCTCTCCGGTCGACTTACCTTACTCTTCTCAGGGAGCTGGAGTACCAGAGTAGACTGGAGAGTGCTCTGCCATCGATTTAGCAGGTCTAGGGAAGACCCACTAAATTGACACCCGCTGCATCGATTGCAGCAGCACTGATCTCCCCAGTAGTGAAGACAAGCCCTAAGTATACACTCACTACCAATTATTTTATAGGTCAATTACTCGGGCACCTTTGTCATTTGTGCTTTTGACATTATACTCCAGATCTTGAGCATGTCTAGACAGTACCAGCCATTTGCCTGTCAGCTCCTATAACATATTCTCAGCACCTCCATGGACCTGTGTTCATTCTATATATTTTATATTATACCCTTAGTATAACAGTTAAGGCTCTAGTTCCCTGGGATTATAGTGGAATTATAAAAGCAATGTGATTTTATGAAGTCACTAGAAATACCTTGACGGTTCAGACCACACTACTTTGCAGGGGGACATTAATGCACAGAAACCTGCTGCAGGCCTCTAAAAATAATGAAGTTTTTACAACTTTAGTCAATTTCATTACTAAGGTACAGACATACCGAACCGCCAACACCAAATCCTGTGTTGGCTTGTCCGAAGAGCCCAGTTCCAGTTCCCGTTCCAAATCCAGTGGCAGCATTTGTGTTGGCAGCTGTTCCAAAAAGGCTTCCAGACTGCGAGGCTTGGGTTGCCCCAAATAAACCCTGCAAACATAAATCTTGTTTGAAAAAGGACCAGTATCTACTCCACCAAAGAACAGTTATAGCACTTTTGTTGGACTATTGCCAAGATAAGTAGCTCTGAAGATCAGAGTTAATAATCAGAAGCCATGATAAACCCTTTGATACTGAATGGAATATATTTTCACCAACCTATATTACAGAAGGTTTACAGCTTTAAATACAACTAGCTCTCACTCTCTTACCATCGTGTTTGTATTTGGTTGTCCAAGAGTGCTGGTGTTCCCAAAAGAAAAGCCAGTGTTCTGCGTTGTGGTGGCCTGGCCAAATGGTTTGCTGAACAGACTGGTAGTCTGCTGCGGCTGCTGACCAAAAAGGCTCCCTGCTGTTCCTGTTCCAAAGCCAGTTGTACCTATGATTGGCAAGGAAATGAGA